AGACGAAATTTTCTGGGCAGAGAGCTGATTTTGATCAAAAGATGATCAGCAAGAAATTTGATTTTTATTTATAAAAGTTTACAGGTCTAACCTACTTCTCCTCAAGTTTAGATGACATAATACACAATATATATATATATATATATATAAATCAAAGTCATGGGACCCATTGGTACCTAATTGAGTTTCATCATGATAGAATTCAATTTATATAATTTGTATAGATGCATGCTCCGAGTGCTATATGCAAATTTCTTCAACATATATATACTAATTTACCTAGGAATTTTTCTTGGAGTTAATTATATCTTTGACTACCATAACTTCCAAATCATTGAAATGTCGATTATTGAATTAGTTTCAGATTTTAAGATATTGTAAAAAGTTGATTTGATAAATTTGTATCTATATGATAATAGTAGTTAAATAATCCCTTTTTCTCTTAATATTTTTTTTGAAATAATGAGTGCTATTTATATCAATTAATAGTCTTATTTATCCTGTTAGTATATCCCATTAATTAGTCATATCAATGGCACCTTTATCCTATAAAATTTACTTTCACTTTCTCTTTCTTGAAATCTTTTTTTTTTTCATTATTATTTCTATTGGTTACCCTAATTCACATAACTACTTTCCTTAGCCTTTCCCTATCTTAATTATCTAGGTACCTTTAACGACGTTGCTTAGATGCATTCCCTTTGCCTCTTACTACTACTACTACTACTACTATCAGAAATACACTTCCACTTGCTACCTTCTCTAATTGGCTATAACTTTCATCAAGTTGGCAATAAGCATAGTGTAATTAATTTAGTTTGAAATTTGATGAGTCGGTTTGTCTTGGAGGGAAGGCATGGGCATGGGAGAGTGATGATTTGATTTGAGGAGTGTCGTCCTCCAGGGGGTTCCTTAATGTGGGATGGCAGAGAGCGGATTCTCATTTCCCCTTTGGGTCACTTGCCTAAAACAAACAGTCGATTTTGAGCACAAATTGGTCCATGATTGACTGTTGTGGATAACCATCAGCAAGAAAATGATGTTCCCAGTCCCACATCCCATGCCATCATATACAGACAAGTCCAAGACAGGAGCCGCGATGTGACCTTACATCACGTTAATTGAGACAGCTCAACTTTTATATTATTATTATTATTATTATTTTCTCACTTAAGATTACATATAATTTTGGAATTACACGAATAAATAATTATTTTGATATAATGTTTAAATTTTTTGAATTATTTATTAAAATTTAATATTTTTATTATATTTAATTAAATTTCTATATTTTATTTTTAATTAATAAACTTTTATAATTAATATTATTAATTAAATTATTATTTATTATTTATATATTAAATAATATATTAATACATCATAATAGATCACGTAACATGATTGAATAAAATTTTTATTTTTTATAATAATATTATATCAATATCATATACATATATAAAAAATAAAAAATAATAATTTAATTAATATTATTAATCATATTAATTTTTATTTAATTTAAAATTTTTTAAACAATACAAAGATTTTTTTAAAATATTATATCAATTATTTTTTAACCATATAAACTCTACTTATCTTAAAAAGTAAATTTAAAACTCCTGAAATGAAATCTCAAGTATTAATAATTAAAATGTTTTGATATGATAAAATTTAAATTTACTTTGACAGATTTAGTTTATTGGAATTTAACTGCGAAAAAACAGAAGCAAATTACTGATTTGATTATTTCCGTGAGAAACGTTTGAACAACCCTGTTTGTGGTTCATGCTGATCCTCAAGTACATTTTGCACATGATTCATGACATTCTGTCATGTCTTTGGCTTCTTTTTCTTTTTTTAATCGTAGCTGTAGAGCTTGAACACAAGATTATGGTGGTGATTCGACATCACCATTCACCAGAGCAAAATGACAATCTGACTTATTAGTAATGAAACATGACAGAAAGGAAGAAGACTGCCCATCGGTCCTATGCTGAAAGACTTTGAAGAGAGCATCATGCCTCCCAATTCACATGCAGATAGACTAATGCATAAGTGGTTGGCATGTAATATCAAAGTTTGCAAGAAATGTTTTGAGTGCAAGGCGAGGAAATAATCATACACTTGGTGGAATTTTGCAAGCGGATATAACACAACAGGACTTAATAAATCATGAATTCCATTTTATTCTATAAAAAATTCCAATGAAACATAATTTATGCAAGAATAAAGTATTGATGGTACAAATGTGGGAAATACTATGAGAATAATACTATAAAATAAGAGTCTAAATGAAAGTTGCAAGATGTGACACTTATCCATTAACCTAGCAAAAGTCTAGATGCGACACCAAAAGTATAAAAAGATGCAACCCATCGGTTTCTAGCGCCCGTGCTCAGAGAAAAAGCACAATTCTATCGGGACCAATTTGCAGCCTAGTGAAATTTATACTAATAATTTTTTTAAAACAATTTAAAAGTATTTTAGATCTGAATTTTACGCTTTTTCTAAATATAAATATTATTATATATCCAAATACGATTTAGAAGTAACATAAAATTTTACGGATTGAATATTAAACACAATCTATTTGTGATACATAGTGCATATTTTATTTCTTTTTATTTTAAAGTAAGTGATAGTTATTTTTATTATTAAAATGTTTTAAATTATCTAAGAAAGAAAAATATGAGAAAAGAGAAATACAGAATAGAAAAATTATTTCTTTTTTTTTAAGTATTTAATTTAATTGTAAATATGAATATATTTTTCTTGATTATTGGATTCGATTTGTCTTTTCCAAAAACAGGCAAAAAAATTTTTTTTACCAGACTTACTGGGGCATAGAATCTCTTGGGGGGCAGGACTTGAGATTCGACCCAAGTTTTGTTGGTTCTCCTTCTGCTTTTAGGTAATGATTAGGACAAAAGCCCCCAGTTTAATAAAGAAAATGAGTTATTATCTATGGAAACCATTTATACTAAGCATATAATATGTGATATGAATGACTTTACAATAAATTTAATAGCATTAGATTATATATATATATATATCTTTCTTTCAAGAAAGGGTCGTCATTACTTCCGGCATTTGTCCCCTATGGAAGATGGAGCATCATAAACTGTGGTTTTTTGCTTAGAAAGACAATCCCATAAACTTGAAAGAAATTATTGCAATGAGAAGCTGTTGACTGAGTCCAGAAATGGGTTCTCAACGCTATGCTCCAAAATCATGACTGCAGGTCCCCCATGAAAGATTAGACATATAATTTGCAATTTGTCTAAAACTTGGTGAGTTTGATTTGGAGAGATTCTGCCACCGTTGGATGTCATAGTCAACACTGTAGGGTTCACGATTAATGCTCTTTTCATGGTAGGCAGGATTATATAGGTTTGGTTTGCTTGACTTTCTGTCATGATAAAACACAGGGACCCTTTGATCGCGTCATTTTACAATTTCTTAGTTGAGTTGAGTGTTAAATGGCCTGAGCTGATCGATAAATTATGACAAGTAAATCACTAGTTTCAACATTATCAAGTTCATGAGAGTAGCTGCTTGAATTTTGATGGGTTATATAGTATATATACTTAATTTACAGCGAGATGTGGCAGAGGGAGGCAGCTCGTGTAGAAGTGACTATATGAAATTTGTGAAGGATTTGGATCTATCTTGGAGGAATTATTTTTCGTCTTTACAAATTTGTCTCGTCCTTCCCTCGGCTAGAGAACTCCCCCAGGATTCCCCCGGATCGTGACTTAAAACTTGAGAGTTTTCATGGTCTGACACGTAAAGGTGACAAATCTCCAAGGAGAGCTCATGACTTTGCGGGGCTTGATGGCAGGGCACTCTGTAGCATATACTGCTGAGCTACTCAAGGTTCGTTTATTAAGATTCTTACCTTACTTGGCAACTTTCATTGTTTTCTTTTTTTGTGATTTGCCAGTGCTTGGAATCAGAATAGTTCAAGGACCAAATATAAATTGGCAGCCAGGCATGGGGTTTCTCGTAGAATTAAATTCTCCCTGTCCGCCCCAAGAAAAAGATGAAAACAATAGAACTTATCTTATTCAAGTGGAGAAAAGAGGATAAAATATAGAGTGCAAATGAAGCTATATATTCTATTAAAACCAGAAAGTGGGGTTAAATCTACCCACTTAAACTGGGATCAGAATGGTTGTTTCCTGAAAATACTGCAAGAGGGCCCCAAAATGCAACACACAAGTTGTCAAAGCAATCAGAGAGGAGACAGATAAGGTTGTTTTTGCAAGAAATATCTATGTGCAACTGCATATAATGGTGGCTCTATAGTACTTGAGTACAAAACATATGCATGTGAACTATAATGCCTTGCTTGCACTGTCTGAATCCTTAAAGTTGCCTTCTTTCTAAAGACTCTGGCAGCAAAGTGGGTAGAACTAGGTAGAAACTCCTACTTTAAAGCTCAAGGGAATGATTGCCTTTTGTTGAACCAATTGCCTAGAAAACAAATACAAGCTTTTTGCTTTTGATAATGTTAAGGAGAGTATTGATTCCACCTAAAGCTACTAGGTTGGACAATGCCGACTGCCCAGGTCCATGGTTTCTTGGTGTAGCTTCTAAACCTGTTAATAATCTATGAACAAAATTATACTGGCCCATGCTATAGTAAAGCGTCAAGAAGCCATTCTAATTTGAAAGTGGGTATGAATATTCCTGGCAACAAATTAAATAGGCCGAGATCAGATCATTTTGGACCAGAATTGGGCCCTTGGAAAATAGTTTATCTCTCCTTACGACAAGGGCCCATGCGCAGGCGGGCTCATCTCTAATCCAAAAAAAGGGAAAAGAAGCGAGGCTTAAGCCCCAAATCCCAGTGTCATGGTGGCTCGCGATCAGTTCCTTCAGCCATCGTCAGATATTCACTGGTTTTAGCATACTGTTATTGACTACTTGAAAATTTGCAGTCACAAGCTTAATAGTCAGATTCAGTTTTTAGATAGCATATATTAAGACAATTGATTAGCTACTCAATTAAGGATTTAAAGGTTTTTCATAAAAGTAACAAAGGGAGGGTTACATAACTCGATCAGGCTATGCCTGGATAAGGATTACATGTTATTCCACACTTACAACAAGGACAAACAAGAGCGCATACTTTCATTAAACTAGACGATGTAAAGATGCAAATGATGGCATGAAAAACCACTCTATGCACAGATACTGGAATTGCTACAGAGCTTTATTTCCTTGGCCTTTTCTTTCACGGCTTGAGTTTCTCAGGGAAGTGCTGCAAGGAAATGAAGAAATAAAAGATCAGTTCGGCATATCGTAATACTACAAATAGTTAATAATTAACATTAATAACATTTGAAGTCAGCTGTGTGGCTGCATAGAGTAGGGTGCTATTTATGTACCTTCTGGATGAGGTAGGGATAGTATGGCTCCTTGCTTTTGCTATACAGGTCATATTTGCTGCATGTAAGGCAGTCAAGTTAAAACGATGTTCCAACCAATTTATGTTGTTAATCCAATGAATTTCTAGGTTAATTAGCTTTCGTTGTAAGTTAATTCTGTCATTTCTTTTGTGCACAAAATGGAAAGGGAAGATCATAGTTGAACACTTCGAGCCACGTCATCATCTCCTTGTCCTCATCATTCATCAGGTAAGTATAAGATCCAGATCGGTGTAGGGCTGTCCGAATCAAATTACCAAAAATTTTCAATAAAATCATCCCAGCAAGTAAAAGTTTGCTCCAATCCTTGCTCTCTAATGGGAAATCTTTGAATTACAGGACTTACCATAGAAGGAATGGAACCTGATGATAAAGAGACCAGCTGGTGGGAGAGTGGCGTTGTTACCCTTGGCAACCTGTCAATTTATAAAAAGTTCCAATGTCATATCACTAGCAAGTAAATAGAAGAACTTGATACGATAAAAGCAAAAGAAAAGAAGTTAGAGCTGATATAACGTCAGAGGAGTCACTCACCAGATACATATATTCATCATGGCCCCATGACATAGTAACATTATCAGGCCCAGAGTTCTCTCGTGTAGACGCCCAACTCTGTGTTGAGTGCTGGGTTCTGATAGTCCGGATTTTCCTTGAAAAACTGACGGTAAAGGAAATTAGTTGAAATTGGTTTTCCATCACATTAATTCTGAAAGAGAACATTGAACTGTGAACTGTAAGGAGATAAATTTACACATGGTGGTGCACAATGGCCTCGTCAAGAGCATATCCGAGAGGAAACGTGTCACCTAGCAGTTAATTAGAAACACACGCCACCAAGTTACACTCAAGCTTTAGAGAGCCTATGTCCCATTGATTTATCATCAAAAGTTTGGCTCACTAAGCTGATGACGAAAGATCAAACGTACCAACGACAGCCCATTGTGGCTGAGCACCGAATGAGGGATGCAGCAGAACTTTCCCCAAATCTGCAACGTGTGCACATTTTAAACATTAGCATTTTGCACGTGCAATCGTTGTATGTGTAATATTTGTTACTATATGCATGCAGTGAATATTGGTTGGTGGGACTAATTATGGACCGTCGATGAGGGCTGTGAGATGGAGCCAGTCGTCGTCAGGGTAGTCCTTCTGGATGGCCTCGGCTACTCTGGAGGAGGTGCTCGAGTTGAGGCTCGTCGAGATCGGGGTCACTCTCGTCAACGAATTCGTTGAGTAGCTCGCAGCATTCCCAGATGCTCATCACTGCCTTGTCAAGTTTCTCGTACTCCTCTTTCTTCTTCTTAGCCTGTGACATTATTTATAATATCAACATCAGCAATTCGTCTTGCACTTGTACAAAAAAAAAAAGGGCTCGTAATCACTGAGTAGATAACAACTAATGAATTGGCTGTTGCTAAATATGTAATACAGGAAAAATGAATCACATTCGGTGCATTAATAGCGAATAAAATGTTGTTACGATATAACCAAAGAAAGTTATCCAAAAAAAAAAAAATAAGGAACTAAATATAGCCAGAGAAGAAGGCTTCACAAATTCATAGGTTGGATTGATGTGATTCTTTCTGTAAATTTCCAGGACGATCTCTCTTCTCAAGCTTTCCTTCTCATAGTCCCTAGGAACGATTGAGACAGGCATTTCTCCATAAGTCATCCGGAGATTGTATAAACGGAAAATGTACTAGCTATCAAATTGAAACTGAGCGTTAAACCTGAAGCTATGGCCAAAGGCATTGCTCTCCGGATGAACAAGGCCACCACAAGCTGCATTTCTCTCACTTGCAGCTTCCGCCCTCTCTTCATATTTCTGGTTTTCAACTACGGTGGCAGTGGCGGCGGTGTTCGCATTGTCAATAACGGGCTCTCATCAGAACAACGGGAGAGAAACATCAAACTGATTTAACATCAGAAAAATATATCTTACAACGTGGAACCGAACTGAATATTGAAAACATACAAAAAGCATAACGTTTACGTTGGCTGATAGAAAGATTAAAAGGGTTTTGACAGAAGAATAAGAGCTGAGACCAAATGAAAGAGACAGTGTACCAGGAACAATAACCGTCATGGTGGCAAAAGGATATCAAAGGGGATGGAAAATATTGCAAGCGAGAGGCAAAGGAAAGGAACTATGGTGAGCACAACGAAGAGGCTCCCTTATTGCAGGCTAGGTTCTTGGCATGGCTTGGTTGAGACTTTAGCAAAGGGGCATGTTGTTGAGATGAAATTACGACTTATGCCACTTTTGTTAGCCAATGCACGGGAATAGTCCTCATCTTTCCTGTGATGTTCTTTAAAACAATTCAGGGTTAGAGATCATGCGTGGTTTTGGTAAGTTTTATGTTTTAAATGTTATATTTGATTTATGCCTGCAAAGAAAAAGAAATGATCAATCATCTGTTTTGCTGCATCCAGATTGTATTGGCAAAAGAATAAATAAATAAAAATTAGGAGGTAAATGTTGATTCTAACAAGCAAATGTTGGCTACAACTAGCTACATCATTAAAATATTTAAAAGTTTTACTTAATGAATTAAATTTTGATAAGGTAACACAATGTGATTTCTTTAATTATAATCGATAATTCCTAATGAATCAAATACAAATTTATTTTGACAAAATATGAAAATGCATTTATAAAATTAATATTAAAAAACTTAAAAATTTTAATTTATGACGAAAACAAATGATGACATGAAATTCCATGACCTCATCTTATAACGGTTTAATTAAAAAAATGTTAAAATTAAAAAAACACGTAACATATTAATTGTAGTATTCATATCATTATCTTATTAATTTTATTAAATAAACATAATATTAAATATATATCATAAAAAATATGTATGAGAAAAATAATAAAATATAGTAATCTCATATATAGAGTCATAGTTTTAATATAAATATAAATAAAGAAAAATTTTAATATTTTTCCCTAAACCTCATTCTAACCATAGAACTAAGATGAAGGCGGTTTTTCGACCCGGTGCCTTCAACTAGAGACAGTACCAAATAGTGGCATTGTGGCAGTTCCAAATAACGTTTAGGGTAGAAATGTAATTAAGGAAAACGATGGAGATAGTGACAATCTAAGGTTGTCTTTCCCTAAATCCAATTAAATGCACATGTGAAAATTACACGTCAGACTTTTGTTGGTTTTCATCAACCTAAAGAATTAAACAGATCTTACGTGTCCATTTGCTAAGCCCTCAATCCCTGTTAATTCTCAACCTCCTCTGCCACGTTGCCCTTCACCCTCTCTGCTCTGATACGCCTGGCACGCCTTGTCCAAAGGTGGCTTTCACTAATTTCTTCTATTTTAATTCTAAAAAAAACATGAATAAATAAGTTCGAATAAAATTTCATCTGCAAATGGAATTACCACATGTGAAAATAATTTATATCATTGAGATAATTCTTTTATGATTATTATTATTATTTGCTAAAGAAGATATTAATAATTGAAACGTAAATGCGAAAATATCCCAAAACTCTTACCACAAAGAAAATACTCCTTAGGCTTTGCGGGTTAATGACAAAGGACTTGACCTGTCTCCTTTTAAGAAAAGGGAACTAATCTTGAGTTTGAAATGTTTAATTAAATGAGTTGAGCTTGACCTTTTAGAAAAACCCTTGCTCTAATTAAAACTCGTGAAACCATGCTCTTTAATATGATAGGTTATCTTTATCACTATCATTGTTATATTATTAATTCATAAAATAAGACTTGCGTGAATATTGTTTTAATATTTTCATATCATTAATGGTATATAGTATTATTAATTAAGTTAATTTTAATATTGGGTCGATGTCATGACAACTTTAATTTGTTGCTTATAGATTTCAATTTTCTTGTCTCGCATCATTTACGCATGGATTCAAGTCCCAACTCAATTCTGAGAAAGGGATGGATTTCAAAATTATCTTTCCAGGAAATGACCAAATTAAGTGACAAACATCTTGAAAATAAAGGGATGTTAATTCTTATATATAAATAAGCGAAAATGACACATGAATTATTCGTACTAATTTGTTAAGTCATATATTACAAGAGCGGAACAAGGTAAAAATTATCCTATAACGAATCAATTTGACTACCAATGGACAATTAATTTCTAACACACAAGTCTTGTACACGACAGTTTGACTTTGATCACAGCTAAGCAATTGTTTTGTAAAATACTTAAACTCCATCAAATTCTTTCATCTTTATCTTTCTTGCTTCTTCTTCTCGTCCAGCTCGGGCCGTCCTAGTTTCTCCTTAAATCGCATAAGTTTATTCATAAATCGAAAACAACAGCCATATCCCACCACGAAACTCTCATTTCCGGTCAATGAAACCCCAATAAAAAAAAGGTTATTTAATTCTTTTATTTATTTCCTTTAACACAAAGAACTCTTTCATGAGCATGTTATAAGAGGCAAAGTTAAGGTGGTGGCGTCACTCTTAGTTTTTAATTTTTTTATATATAAAATTTAAAATATATAAATTCAAAATTTTATAAAATTATCTTTTAATTATTGTTTATATAAAAATTTAAATTCGTCAATACATGTTATATATATATAATATATATTTAATTTATGCCAAAATTAATAAAAAATTATTAAGCATCCACATATTAACAATTTGTAATTGTAAGCATCAGACAACTTTATAACTCTTGTTGAGTTTAGGTTAACTAGAATTATAGATCTTATTTAATTAGGATTTTTGTTTATGTACAATATTAAGTAGTTGTATGGTTTTAAACTTCTTATTCCACATAAAGTCTTAATCACATTTTACTTTAAACTTTTATACGATAAAAGTAAATTTTTTTAAGCTTTAGAATTGCAAATAGTGCTTTGAAATCTCTAAGCTGCTTTGAAATCTCTAAGTTTTAGAATTGCGTTTTGAGAGTCTTAGAGAAATGACACTTTGTAACTTTGTCTTTTGCTCTAAGTGAAATTCTAAGTCGAGCTAAAGTGGTTTGGGTGATTGGGAGGTTATTGAAAAAGAGTGTGCAATTAATTTTGGGTTGGTTTGAGAAGACATATAAGTCAATTTATTATATTTAATTTTTTAATAATATAAGAATAGTTTTACTTCGTGGATGTAGGTAAGAGATCGAATCACGTAAATTTTTATATTTTTCTGTTTGCTTGATTTCTCTAAATTTTATCTTTATTATTTTTTTAGGTAATTTTCATAACAACTCTCGAATCAAATCAAATTAACATAATAATCTATTAGCCAAATATGGCACTACTCTAGTACCGTAATTTAAATATTACATAAATGTAAAACTTATGTAGATAGAAACTTCAATGCTTTAACAAGAAGCACCCCCTCAATTTCTCACAGGTTCATCTCACCTTCGCATTTGTAGTTTCTTTGCCTTGGTGCATGCCATTATTCTAACATCTTTCCACTTCCCATGATGCCTAACATGCCAAATTAAAGAAACATGTTTTCCTTTGGTAACGCACCAACTACCATGTTTATTAGCGAAAGCAAAGCTACGCGTCGGTTTCCAAATATAAAGAAAAGCGGCAGCTGGCTGAATGAATTAACAAAAATATCTCCGCTGGCATCCTCTCTGATCCGAGGAAGCAACTTGCTCATCTACTGACAATGGAACAACCCCTCGTGAAAAAAACATCTTTTAAGTGTATTTGTCGGTGAATGACGTGGCATAATCTCAACCGTCCGTTCACTTTTTTTCTCCCACGTGTTTTTGAGCTGTGATTAAATGCAATAACAGAGCTCAGCCGTTGAAATAAACCCACTCCACTTCGAGTTTCCATCAGAAGAAGTCAAATCGACTCGTTGGCCATGACTAGATGCCGCGTCAGTTTGAACCAACTTACCATAAGATACGTTATCCACGTAGAGCTGAGTCAGGCTCCTCCAATTTTTTTTTTATTTCTTTTTAGGACTTGTGAGTAATCTTAAGGTAAACGCATTCTCATTTTATTATCTTTCATCCTTGAATCAGAAACTCAAATTTAAGCCTATGAAAATCTTTATATGAGTTAATCTTAATTTCTAGATAATTGACTAATCAAAGAAATTAAGCTATTCTTATCATAAAAATGGTTTAAGATAACTGGGTTTACGTGTGATAATCTTATCGACCCAGATATTTCAAAGTTGGATAAAAGAGATAGACCGGATAAAAACATATTTTCGGATAAATTTACAGGTGGAAGAAAATGATTGGAAGTTGAGGGCCACGCTCATTCCTAAGGCGTGAGTCTGGCGTGATTAGATCTGATGTTTGGATTATCGTCAACGTTTCTATTTTTTGAATAAAATAGTTAGGGGAAAGAAAGTAAGATTTTCAGTTGAGGACATGAAACATTCCAATTGACAAGGAAGGACTTTTTCTATGTGACTATAAAAACTCCCCCCTCATTGCAACATCACCTGCCACACATAACACAAGTCATTCAATTGAGCTTTTCTATTGGTTTCTTGAGCTTTTCTGGTAGATTTTTTTTTTGGCTACAGAGGGAAAATGACTATCCTTATTGAGAAGCCTGAGATAGGTATATTCCCTTTTTTTTTTTCCTTTGGTCATGGAGTCTGTACTAAAAATGAGTTCGGGAAACAAGTAACAGTCACTAATTGTCTGCAATTTATTGGTTTTTGCTTTTAATGTTTAACAGAGTCTCAAGCAGAGTGCCAGAGGCATGTCGAGGAAGATAATGAGTTGGTGTTGGATGGTGGATTTCCAATGCCAACGTGCCTGTCAGATAATGGATTTTTGGCACCAGAAATCAATTCATT